TGGGTGTAGAGACAACTGACTCCTGAAGACCGAGATTGAACCTCATGATAATGATTTGCTTGCATTTCGCAGGAGGGATGAGAGTAAATGGCCACCAGCTGTCAGTCAGAAACTTGTGTTATGAGGAGATGTCAGTAATGATCGTACGGTCCGGGAGGGACAAATGCTACGTACGTGCCCCAGCATCTTCAGGATCAACGCCCTCCAACCGATTCCACTGAGCAGGAAGACATACAAGTGAAAGTACCCTGCTCGCAGCATTAACAAATGGTGAATGTCGCATGACGAAAATACCGCAAGACACACAACGCCAGCAGCCAGCGAGTTTACAAAGTTTACAACAGGCTTCCATTGCATTTTGGTACGCATCAAAACATTATGAACAGCAAATACCGAGACGAGTGAAAGTGGGGGTAGTATCGGATTATACATAGATCGTGGGCGTGGAACAAACAAAAGGAAGGTGGTGCAGAGACAAACCGACGAATGAAGCTGAGTAAGTCCAAAAACCTTGACAAGACTGGCAGCACGAAAGCTCATGATGGTTTGGTCTTGAATCTCAGGAGAGGGGCAAGACCAGATGGCGCACAAGCCTTCTTCATGAACTCGTGCTGCACAGAAACATAAGGAATGCGACGTGGGAGGGACAACCTTACGTACCTGTAGGAGCTCGCTTGAATTGGCGCGACTTTTGACATCGACACATAGGCACACGCTTAGGAAGCTCTTCAACTCCTTGCTGAGGGCTTCAGGCTTTTTGAGCGTCGGCGTCCCGTTCGTCGCAATCAGGTACAGTGCCTTTAACGGCTCCTCATCAAGATAAGGAGGCTCGTTCTCAATCATCTCGATTGCCATGATGCCGAGTGACCAGATGTCAACTTTGGCACCGTATTCCTTCTGCTTCACGACCTCCGGTGCCATCCAGTATGGAGTACCAACCATTGTCGCACGCTTGGACTTCTGATCAGTGAGTTTAGCACAGAAACCGAAATCGGCTGTGCATCACATCAGAAACCAGTGCAGGATTGCATAAAAAGATGCATACTAATTTTAACGCGGCCCTGCGCGTCGAGGAGGACATTATCGGATTTGATATCACGGTGAATGATAGATTGGCTGTGTAAATGACACAGGCCCTTGCATGTCTAGCGGTGCGTGAGTATCACTCATGAATCATGATAAATCAAAAAGGTACACACTTCCAAACTTATGCTCGAAATTTGATCTTCTTCCAGCGTATTGTTCTCTATGATATCTGTAAGGGCACCGCCCTCCATGTATTCCATGACGACCCAGAGTTCATTGTTCTTCACGAGGTACGACTCGAGGAAGTTGACTATGTTGGGGTGCTGGGATTCCTTCATGACGAGAATCTCGTTCACGATCAGTTCCTTGCGTGGTTGGTGTGAGAGGTCCATTTCTTTGATAGCAACCTTCTTGCCTGTGGCAAGCGTTTTTGCGACATACACATGTCCAGATGCGCTGTGGATAGCTTATCAATATTTGCCAGTGGCCAATGCAATGAAAGCCTCACCCCTGTCCGACTTTCTTAATCTTACTATACAAGGTCTTCGGATCATCGTCAGACACCACACTCCGGAGTTTCTCCATGATCTGCGCTTCGGTCATCGCACTAATCCGCTTCTCTTTATCTTTCTCCTTTTCCTTGGTTTTCTTCTGCAAAGCCTCTGCAGCGGCTGCAACACCTGGATCTTCGCCCTCGGGTGCAGTAATAGTAACATCAGGTGTCGGCGGCTCCTTCTTCTTCATCGTCTGCAGAGGTTTTACAGGCGGAGGACCAGCAACAGCTGCGGCGGCGCCTGCCACATGCTCAGTCGCAGGTTCAGAAGTAGCCGGGGAGGATTTAGAAGGTACCAAGGGAGGTCGCTCGATCGCAGCTGCAGCCTGTTGCTCCTTCATTTGCTGGCGTTCACGTTCACGCTCTTCGCGCCGCTGACGGTCCCTTTCTCTTTCCCGCAACTCCCTGTCCTTCCGCTCCCGTTCTTGTTGTCCAATAGTATCCATACTCTCCTTTCGCTTCGGGCCCTGGTCCAGCGAAGGTTTCCCGGCCACTTGATCACGAGCTTGCGCTCGCGCACGAAGGTCTGCGGTCGAGGGTGTATGATCAGGTACAGGGGGTTTGGGAGCGGCAGGTGCGGGTCGTGTGGCTGCCAACAATGGTCGTGGAGGGGCGGGTCGGGAAGGCTGCAAGGAGGTTGAAGCTTGCAATATCTGAGGCATTGGGGGTCGCGGAGGTGCGGAGGGCGAGGCGGTGGAGATAGTGTTGGCGTGCTGAGCATGTGAGCCATTGACGAGCTCAGCAACGCGCGCAGCGGCGAGAGCAGTTGTAGAGAGCCCGTTTGTCCCCGTCTCTGCTGGAGCGGAGTCCTGTCGCTTGCGGGCTGTGTCGAGCGGGGATGTGATCTTTGTAAGATTAGATCCGCCGAGACCTGTGCCGCCGAATCGAGCAGGCGCATCTACACCGTATGGCGAAAGGGTGTTGCTTGTTATGGTAGAGCCGACAAGGGTGGAAGCTGCAGATGTCCCGGAAACGGACCGTGATATCGAGTTCATACCCATCTCTTCCAACTCACGCTTCTGGTGATCGGTGTAAAATTCAAGGACGTCTAGGACGGCTTGAGGGTCTTTAGCGTAATCTTCACGAGTAATTGCAGACTTTGTAAGAAGCTTGCTCCATTGCTCGGGCATGCCCTGGAACATAGACGTGAGCGAGACAAAGATTTGAGTTTGGTATCCACGCACAGTGAAAGCACCTGATACAGGGTCAAATCCGACGTGGACCTTGTGCACAAAGTTGGTGGGGTTGCTGAAGCCCATCAATGGACTGCGAGAATATACATCATCTTGCCATCCGTAAAGTTCTTCGTCGTTTTTGAGGGCGAGATGATATCGTTTGTCCTTGGTCTCAAGGAGTAGACAATAAGGCTTGAGATCGACACGTTCGATATTCGTGATATCCTTGAGAGGGATGACGCTTTGCTGTGGTGACGTCTACGAGGTGATCCGTCAGTATGTATGGCCTACCCAGTAGGATATGAAGAAGAAAACCAATGGAGGTATCGTGCATCTAGTAGCACGCTATAGTAGTGCCTCGTTCCTCGAAGCATAAGGCAATCAGCCAATTTGCCATGGACTTACCTCGGTTTTGTGTATGGAGAGCGTTTGTTCCTTCAATACGAGCCATTTTCGCAGAAAGATGAAACTTGCAAACCCCTCTTCCTTCATGCTAACCATCCCAGTTCTTACGACATGGGTGTTGAACGCTGCCTGGGAGTTGCGATTGGGCGATCCACCTATCCCAGTGTAATCAGTCGAGTATGACGAGCCAGAAGAAAAGGATGTGTTGTAGCCTGAACTTTGGAGAGCACTATGGGGGAATATAGGACCTTCCGTTCCTCTTCGGACAGGTGCTTGGGGTGCAGGTCGAGAAGGCGTCAGATTCGTTGCTGTTACTTGATTGAAGGCCATGGTGGATGTGAAGAGTGATGAAGTGAGACAAGGAATGGAGTGGGGGTTCCTCGCTGGCGAGAACGGCAAGATTGAGAGCTTTGTAGCCGTTCGTAATGGTGGCGGGACTATACACAGCGTCGAGCAAGAGTTGGTCTTCTTCTGATTGAACGGAGGCTTTCGAATTCAAGTTGATACCCCCCAAAACGGACAACAACAACTGTCCGGATCTGTCCGCCAAGGGGCATACATCATCACCACGGTAACACCTGGTATCACTGGTACTGGTCCTTGAAAAGGTACTAACTACGGTCCTTACATGATTTTGAGTCTAAGATTCACATCACATCTACAATCCTGTTTTCAAGCTCTGAGGCAGTTCGATATCTATTAAGAGACCGCTTATAATTGACACTCGAGTGGAAGGTGTTCAAATAAAATGAACTCGACGTGACCAGCTACTTGTTCTTTGTCATCCTGTAGGATTGTCAGTAAATAAAAATTGTCTAGTCTCAAACTCACTTATAAGTAAAGCGCTTTTTCGTGTGCGCGAATTCACCGAGCTTATGGCCAACCATATCCTGCGTGATCATCACAGGAGCATAGTCTTTACCATTGTGCACCATGAAACGGATACTGACATATCTAAATTAGAATAAGCACAGACGAAGCTTGAGAGTCTCACCCAACAAAATTTGGGAGGATAGTGCATGCACGAGCCTGCGTTCTTATAGCAACATTGTTAATTAGTGCCTCCTTCAGGTTTGGAAAGGCTACAAAATATGGGCCTGGACAATATCACGCGTGAATGTAAGATAGACCGCACAGTGAATACAAGACAAACCTTTCCAAGCAGACCGCCCCGACCGTAGAATGAGCGAAGGCTGCATGACCAGCGGAACAGAAGAATTCAAAATCAAAACAGTCTGCTTATGTAATGCCTTTGCAATAATTGAACATGGCGCTACTTGCTCAGCCCACTGCATCCAAAATATGCTCTCATCTGCCCTACACAATCGGAATAACTTTCTTTGCGCACCATCTTCAATCGTTTGAACATTGTTTGATTACATCATGAAATACACTTCATTCTCTTTGTGTGCCAACCGAGTGTACGATACGAGCCCAGGAGTAGCAATCACTCCGAGACGCACACGTCCCCTTCAACCTTACTGGGCCACTTTCGCAGAAGATTGTTCATGACATCATCCACTTCTTTTGCACATAGGCAGATTCTTCCGCTAAACCTGGTTGGTGATATCTCCCAGCGCTTGTTGCAATCATACCAGCGTCTATCGTGTCGAACATTGGAAATACGTCCGCAGCATGGTCTGGACTCTCAGCCGAACTCCATCCACAGTCTCCATATCCTTGCTCTCCATCTTCCCCTCCCATTCATTTCGTCCACCTACTCAGCCCATCCTCGAACCTCATCATTTTGCTCCATCGCACCACCATGACTGGTAACTCAGAAAGCCGATATATCAGGCTTGAAGGCCAGTCCTCCATATCATTACCTTCGTATTTCTTCCATGATTCTCAACACTCTGACTACAGTCATCAACAGAAAGAATCTTCGAGTCGCTTCCGGGCGCATTCCGCTGGACGGCGCTGGTATCTACATATTCATCAATGTCGACTCGAAGAGACGCTGGAAATCAACCATCAGTGTCTTATCATCTGATGAATCTATAGCGTGGGGCAATACTGTAACTCTGTAATGTCATGGAGACTTTCTGACGCTATGCGAGAACTGACCTTGGGTTTATAGATCATCACATGCCTCACCTACGTTGTCATTGGAGATCGGGGCGTCCTTTGAGCTTGGTCGAATGCTAGGCGGTGGAGAAGTCATCGGGAAACTTGAAATGTCGTGGGATGAGCTACTCGATCATGGAGTGAGCCATTCGGTGAGTAACCTACTTCTCATCCATGCATATACTAATATCTCGTAGATCTATTCTTCCCACCCGTCTGTAGTGTCTACCCTTCCCTCACGTTGAAGGCCGCTGCTGTACGGGCTTGCGACGATCGCGACTGCATTCTGTTTGAGGCGAGTGCACTAGTTTCTGTCCTGTCAGCTTTTACTGACAGAGTGCCAACTGTAGTCCCTCGTAGACTGCGATATTGCTCGAGACACAGATGCGGGCCACGCACAATTTCCGCATATGTGACAAGCGAGAATGTCTCTCACCTGAACGATGCCGCAGAGCATTTTGAGTTGGTTATGAACCAGTGTCCGGTCAACCATCCAGACCACGCAACAGCTCTCACCAACCTCGCGTGGGCCCGCCTCAAGGGCTACATTTGAAATGATCTCCAAGACATCGATGCCACTATTTCCCTCTTCCGCGACGCCCTTGCATTGCGTCCGCAACGCCATCCCGATCATCCCTTATCTCTATTCAATCTCGCCGAATCACTGACTTGGCGCCACGACAAGAACGATACTGCTACCGACATCCGCGAAGCCGCCCAACTCTATCATGAGCTACTGCCTCTCTGCCCAAAGGGCACCTGCCTTCTCAGTATCGCAGGAGGGCCAAATAGTGTCGAATATGTAATCGACGAATGCAATGATCTTCCGGTAGACGCATCCGACGAAGGCATCCAGCTTCGAAGAGTTGTCCTTAAATTCTGTCCTCCGGGCCATTAACTTCGTCTCAGAGCCCTTGACGAACTTGCGCGAGCAGTTGAGGCACGTTTTGATCAGCACGGCAGCATCGAAGGCAGACCTAATGACCTTGATGATGCCGTTTCTTTGTATGAAGAACTGTTACGCCTGCGCCCTGTTGGGCATGAATACCGTGATATCTCATTGGACAACCTAGGGCTCGCCCTTGTCGCCCGTTTCAACAAATGCAACGACATTGATGACGTCACCCGAGCTGTCAGCCTCTATCGCAAGGCACTGACATTGCGCCTACCTGGGCATCCACATCGTGACACCACGCTTAACAACCTTGCCCTCGCACTCGACACAAGATGCGACAAATTGGATATCGACGAGGACCTTAACGAGGCCATTGATTAGTATCGCGAATCCCTCCGGTTAATGCGGCCTGACGATCTAGAGCGCCACGTAACTCTACACAATTTGAGCTCCGCGCTCTGCTCTCGTTTCACACAAATTGAGGAGAATGAAGACATCGAGGAGGCTATCACTGTTGGCCATAGATCATTGGCAGTTCTGTCTTCACTGCACCCGGGCAGGTTTTTTAGCTACATGCGGCTGGAGGAGGCCCATTTGTCTCGTTATGAGATTCTACACGACCCTGCTGATTTGTCGATTGCTATGGAGAACTTCAGGCTTGCATCAAGACATCCTACTCAAGAATTTCCTCGGCGTATCATAGAGGCTGTTGACTGGGCTCGCGAAGCAGAGGTTCATCAACATGAATCTCCCCTAGAAGCAGTACCAAACGTGCTTTGAGCTTTTTGACAGCCACGTGATGACGCGATGGTCGATCATCTCACGGCGCGAGGCTGCAACCACTTTTAGTGATGCACGATCACTTCCTGTAGATGCAGCCTCATGTGCGATGCGTCGTGACAATCTACGACGGGCAGTCGAGCTCGTGGAGCAGGGCCATGGCCAGCAGTGGTCACTGGCATCGCAACTCAGGACACCACTCGAAGACCCCGAGTCTATCAGTCCCGAAGTAGCTCGCAAGTTCTTGCGGCTTCGCAAATGCCTGTCTGATACTCAGGGTTCCGCGGCCAATACCGACAAAGCTGCTACTGATCTGAGTACAGGAGACTTACAAGACAATGGGAGGCTGTGGTACATGAGATACGTGATCTTCCGGAGTTCTCACGGTTCCTGCTCCCACCTTTGTACGGAGACCTACAAGTGGCAGCACGCCAGGGCCCGGTCATCATCCTGGTTGCCAGTCAATACTCGTGCAGCGCCATCATCGTCCCGACGTCGGGAGACCCCATCATGTTCCCTTGCCGTCTGTCGTTCTTGCAGATCTGACCAACCTCAAAGATGGCTTCGCCAGGGCAATAAGACACGCATCTATCATGGACCCAAAATTGCCGCGGAACGATCTAATAGTCCTCTTGCGAACAGTATGGGACGAAATCATGCTACCGATCGTCAACGTCCTCCAGCATGATCTGAAACTAAAATTCCACTCTCGAATCTGGCTGCGTCCGACTGCAGCTTTCACGTCTATTCCTCTTCACGCAGCTCACCCGTTTCGAACGAATGCAGATCGCTCTAAGGAGCCATGTCTGGAGGATCTCTACATCTGCTTTTACACGCCGACACTTTCGGCTCTGGTCAGGTCTAGACAAGACGAAAGTGCCGCTCGAGCAGAGGATGGTTTTTGTTCATACTGGTGTGTAGTTCTACCTTGTACAAGCTGTTGATATTTCATCCTGTTGGTGTACTTGGTCTATTGCTTTGCATCCCCTCTTGTGCTATCGTGTACTCTTAGAAGCGTTTTTTGTAACTTCATTCATTGCTATAGTTCTTTAACACATGTGAGCGCTGATTAAAGTCTTTGACGTTTACTACTCGCTTCAAGCTCAACTTTCTCAGTCTTCGAACGCTCAAATCCGCTGCATTCATCCTTTGATGCAGTGAAATGCATTTTATGCTCTCGTGATGAGTCGAGCATCTCGCCGAGGCTAACGATCGGTCCTTGACGTTGAACGTTGAGTCATTTTAACCTATCTGCGCTGAACTTAGTGATACTATCAGACGACGATGGACTTGCAAGAACAGTGCATCCCATAAGTAGGATAACTCTGAATAATGGCAATGGGTCGATCCGCTACACGAACCGATGAACAACGCGCCTACCCGCACCTGGTCTCTATATAATTGACAAACCGACTGTCAGTTGTATAAACCAAATATGTAGACTGCGATGGCACCCTGCATGTAAAGATGTAGATGCCATTGAATTTAATGGTGACTTGAAGCTAGTAGCTAATGACGCATATACCGAGGAAGTTGGCAGTCACAATTTTTGATGGTCGGTACTTGATATATCGAAAATTACCTGGTGTTCAAACTTCACGCTACGAGGCCTACTTATCAAGGAAATACCGTTTTCGACAACATTAGCGGTATGCACAGGTCGTAGTTTACGCCAATTCGGTGATACCATGAGATTTATTGTTTCTGCCGATGCAATATCAATAGTCTGGAATGAGTGAGACCTAGTGCCCTCCCAGACCCTGCAGCATGCAATAAGCAATAAGCAATAAGCAATAAGCTAACGATCACGAGCCTCAGGTCCTCCGCCTCTTTAGTGCCATGGGTATTTCATATGCATAAGTAAATTGCAACTGTTCGTGGAATATCATGAGCCATAAACTTATACTTGTATGGAGTACAAGGCAGCAAGCACATGTTTCAAACAGGCACATCTTCATTGTGTTCTTACGAAACTTGGTTCCTCACTCGCCGAGTCGGGTGCATACATTTCGCGAAGCGCGAAAAACCTCCCTATCTTGCGCCGTACACTGGCAGGAAGAGGCACTTCCCACAACTTCAAGGACTCCTTGACATCCTGAGGGGTTTTCCCTGTACAGCACTGATTAGTTGTCTCAAATACCGTATATCAACCAACTTACTCAGCCAAGGCTCGTACCACGCTTTTGGATGTCCTCTCCTATTAGGACCCATCAGCACTGCGTCGCGTCATCCAGCGTCAGACAAAACATTGGAGAATTCGATTGCTGTAACAGGGCGTCAGATATCTGGGGTACGCACTGGTCGAGAATAGCCTGAGTAGTGACTGCTGCTCGTCCGTCAACACCGAGAGTCGCAGACAAATACATCCAGGCGACTCAAGTGCTTAGATCATCGCGTTGATGCATTTCTGACCAACAAATTAGCTATGCTAGTACAGCATTAGCGGTATTACAATCAATAACATGCTCGACTGACTCTCTAGACATCGAGACTTCGTGAAATACTGTGCGAAGTGTCATCAAAAGGACGCTTTGAGAGGCAATATTTACATCCCCGCGGTCTATGACCACCACATTCCACTCGATCGCAAGCTAAGCGACAGCCACGTCGCGTCAGAGATGCATCACGGTCTGTGGATTGTATATACCGATGCTAGTTTGGCGGCCCACGATTTCACATCGGCAAAGTCATTGGCCCGAATGTCGAGCTTCATCGGCCCTTGAGCATGTCGCACATTGCATGAGCATTGAGCGCTGAGCAACCGTATTTTTGCCCGTCCCTTGTGCGCCTTTTAGGAGGACATTCTACTTATGGTAAAGGTAAAAGATGAGTCTATAGACTGACTGAAAATACATGTGACAAACCATCGATGCTGAACACCTGGGTTGTCCTATTAATAAGCCTTATTATACTTGGTAGTTACGTGTCTCGCCAACTATAATTAGGCTTGGTTTCATCAAATCCCTACACCAGCGTTAAATAGTGCCCCAGCTCCTCAAAATACCTTCAAAAAAACTATGTACACCTCACTATGGTGGGCGCGCGCGCGCGCATAGGCTATATTCGGTAAGCATCCCGCCCCGCCTTAATTGCGTCATATTCCTATTTTAATTCGGCACGCTCGGCAACGCCTACTACGCTTCCTAATTCGAACCAAGGGGCCCTTCTCACGCTTCCTAGCTCTCCTCATCACTGTGCTCATCGTCCCTGCCGTTCCCTGCCTCCATCGTGCCCCCATTGTTCCGCCTTTGTCGTCGTCGTCAACCTCCTTCGTTCCTGCCGTTTCCCACCTCCCTCGTGCCTTCTCAACCTCCTTCGTACCTTCGTCGTCGTCGTCCTTCGTACCTGCCGTTTCCCAACTCCCTCGTGCTTTCGTCGTTGCCCTCCTTTGTGCCTTCATCGTTGTCGTCCTTCGTACCTGCCATTTCCCAACTCCCTCGTGCTTTCGTCGTCGCCCTCCTTTGTGCCTTCGTCGTTGCCCTCCTTCGTATCTGCTGTTTCCCGCCTCCCTCGTGCTTTCGTTGTCGCCCTCCTTTGTGCCTTTGTCGTTGCCCTCCTTCGTACCTGCCGTTTCCCGCCTCCCTCGTACTTTCGTCGTCGCCCTCCTTTGTAGCTTTGTTGTTCTCCTTTGTCCCTTTGTAGTTTGTCGCACCTCATTGCACTGGGTTATGTCATATTCTACTTGCACTGTGATATTGTAGATCAAACTAAGATGTCATTGCACTTTTATAAAAACAAACTAAGTCTATCACGAGCGATTCCATCAAGAAATGAGTTATAGCGCAGGAATAATGAAACTAGGGACATTGCTCAAAGGGGACAGGATGGCTGAGTCTGGGATATTGTTATGGTACTGGGGTGCTGCTCGAAGGGGAAAGGATGATTGAGTCTGGGGGAATTGACATTACTGGGTGCTCGGCAGTACACCCACTCGTGTTAGAGTTCGAGTTGGCGTTTGGAGTGGTGTTGACATCCTCCGAACCATCTGGTGTCTGTCCAGCTGTACACCTAGTCGTATTAGAGTTCGAGTTGGCGTTCGGAGTGGTGCTGACATCCTTTGAACCATCTGGTGTCTGTCCAGCAGTACACCCAGTTGTATTAGAGTTCGAGTTGGCGTTCGGAGTGGTGCTGACATCCTCCGAACCGTCTGGTGTCCGTCCAGCAGTACACCCGGTCGTATTAGAGTTCGAGTTGGCGTTCAGAGTGGTGTTGACATCCTCCGAACCGTCTGGTGTCCGTCCATGACTCTGGGTATCTTCGTCGTCACTGGACTCAATGGTCTCCGCACTCTTGTGCTTCTTGCTACATCTGGGGTCAGCTATCGCATGTCGTACTTGCTTCTTACCCTTGTCGGACCGTGTCCTGCGGCGGGACTCGATAATGTCACCACTGTCAATTTTTTCATTGCGCTCGCGACGGAGTTGCTCGAGTTCCTCGTCATTCAACACTTCCCACCTCGTATCGCCCGACTTCCAACAGTCTAAAAGAGTATGGAGGTCCGGAAGCGCGTTGGTCACACTGCTGAGGTTTGTGAATGGGATATGCTCCGGCCATCCTTTGATGGCGACCTGATAGCGGTTGACCACGTTACGAAAGTAGTCTGCCCACTGCATCCTGGCATTGCTTTCTCCGGTCACCTTCCCTATGAATAAAATGAATTCTGTGCTGTCAAAAGATGGGAAAGACTTACTCAATTTCTGGGTGATGATTGCTCGAATGTCTCCGCGAACCTTAGAGACCTCTTTTTGATGGTTGCTTGCGGCACCTAGTACAAATAGAAATTAACTTGAGAATGTAATAACAACGGAAAAACTGTACCTTGTATCCCTTGGATAGCGAAACCTTCCATCTTGCTGAGGAAGTCCTGAGTATCGATGCCGATGACAGAGTCCATAAAGTGATTGACACCCGGCGTTGTGAAGGTGATTGCACGGAGAGGTAGATCAGTAGTACCGCGCGTCATATACAACATGACCTCGGCGCCAGTGCGAGAATTTAAACTATTGAGCTAGTAACGAGACACTTAGTAACATTGTATTGCAATTCGAGGGTGCGTACCTCATTTTCTACCGCCTTCAGGGTTTGAGTGATGTCGTTGATCTTCGACTTCGTTGAGACACGTAACCCAGAGACCTTGGTCTCCTTCTGGTCGGCGAATTCCTGGAGCAACTCTTGTTGTTCTTCCTGTGTGAGAGCGTGGTATTCATCCTTGTGGTCGCGGACCAGTGACTGGAGTGCTTCCTTTCCGTGGCCATTGCCTGTTAATTCAACATTGAGTCATGAAAATGCATATGATACAAATCAACAGACTTACAGTTCTCTTTCTTCGCTTCCTGAGATTTCTTCCAGCAAAATGCGTTCCAAACGCTGGGCTTTGAATGCTTCGAACGGAGTGATCCCCGACCCATGTATAAATCGTGCTGTACACGACGGAAGCTCTTGCGATGGGTAGCAGCAATGGTTGTTGTAACATCGTCAATTTGGCCCCATGCAAGATCAAGCGCATCCTTGAATTGACGCGACTTCTCGGTTCGCTGAAACTTGAGTGCCGCGCGAGCTTCTTTGCTGAGGGTGACCTTAGGACGACTACGAGGTGGTGCTTGAATGCGCTTCGCACGCTTCGCACGCTTCGCAGCATAGAAGGACTGGGAGACCATCACCCACAGAAGGATGGCAAAAATCAGCAAA